CTCTAGCCACGACACTAACAGCTGCTCAGGAAACGAAACATGTGTAGACAAATGCAAAACACGAGTGGCTTTTTAAATAAAAGTTAAATGTAATTAGTGCAAACTATTTTTAGCTCAATGTTTGCAGGCTCAGTTTAAACAGAGTTGATTGTTCAATGTTTTTGCTTAAAGACAGTAAATGAATCCTTAATCATCTTACTTCACAGCCTCTGCTGTACTCAGTCTGCATTATAGGTTTAGTTTCACTGAAATCCTTCAAACTAAGCAAAGGTGAAATAATCAGACCGTAAATCTTGTTAGTTTTTTTCCAACAGTGCTAGAAGTCTTTTGGTGGCAAATATTTGAGCTGTTAGCTTGAGCTCCCTCAAGGAATAAATTAAGTTTTCCTATTTAGTTGTATGTTTTCTGTTGTTTAAATGTAATTACTTGCTAAATATAATAGATATGGTGCTAAATTTAATATACAAGGTATTTCTAACTCTGTAGTAACATAACTTACAGTCTGTGCCTTATTGTTACACTTTTTAGGAATCAGAGAAATCAATATTCAGCATCCTGTTTGTGATTGTATGTGGCTTTGTACAGCAGTGGAGTGAAGAGACAACATTTGTGATGTATTAAAAAATAAAAGTCAGACTCTCCTAGAAAAAAAAACAAAAATGTGAAATTCCTCATTCTGGTTAGACCATATTTTAACTGTCTAGACAGTCATCATATAAAATCTGTATCTTTTAATTCTTTGTTCGCTTCTGCAGGAGTTAAGACCAATGAATGACCTTTCACCTTAAATACAGTATGCATATTTCAATTACCTTATAAAAGACTGTTGACTCGTTGGTCAATTCTCATAATAGTTAATATTTTGCTACTACATTTTTCACATTTAAGTGATAAGCATCCCATTTTAGAAATATTCTTCTTTTGGAAAATGCATAACTTTAAAACCAAAAACACAAGATTTTACATGTTTCTGAAAAAGGTGAATAAGGTAAATGATGTATATAAATTTTCAGGAACTACTTGAACTAAGGACATTTATTATGTGAGATAATCTGTGTTAAATAACCGAGTGAGGATGAGTAGTGGAGGATTTTGTACAGCTGCTCAACCAGCTCCAGTCACTGTGGCTCTTGAGCACAATAATAAACAGCAGAATCTTCAGTCTTCAGACTGTTCATCTGCAGATACAGCTGGTTTCTGCTGTTGTCTCTGGAGATGGTGAACCGGCCTTGGACTGACTGAGAGTAGTATATATGGCTACTGCCATCAGGATGAGTAACAGCAATCCACTCCAGTCCTTTTCCAGGAACCTGTCTGATCCAACCCATCCAAGAGCCACCAAAGTTAAATCCAGAAGCTGAACATGTCAGTTTGTGGGATTCTCCAGGCATTTTAACCACTGCTTCCGATTCTGTCAGAGTTTGACCATCAACAACTGTCAAAACACACAACAAAACATAATGTGAATTAAGATGATCACTGAAATGAAGCTTTTTTAAACTGAGATTGGCGAATCTCTTCACCTGCCCAGCAAATAGTTAACAGCAGCAGTCCTGTCCTATAGTCCATCATGTTCAACTGTGTGTCCACTGTTCTCTGTCGTCCTCTCTGCAGTCAGATAAGTAGAGGTGGAAGACATCTGAGTTATGCATTGACTCCTCCTCACAGGGAGGAGCCAGCTGGAGAAGTTTTGGATCCGGCAAAATGTGTGAATAAATATAAGTTGTAGTGTGTTACAGTTTTTCTCATTCGCTTTTGTACATTTCTCAGATCAGATCTCATGAACCTTCAACTGGCATCATATGTAGACAGAGCACATCACAATGTTACAGTTTCTGACAATGAAGTCTGCAGACACATAAGTAGAAGTGGAACACACTGAAGGTTTTGCATTGACTCCTCCTCACAGCAGAGGAAACACCTGGACTGCAGATATTTGGTGAAACTGTGGAACTCATGTTCAATGAGTCAGTCCTCTACATCAGCTATTTCTACTTTTGTCTGACACCTTTTGGTTTAATTTGAGGGAAATTTTAAAAATGTTATTCTTAGTTTAGACCTCTGACAAATTAATAAACCACCTATACACAAATTATTTGTAATATAATTAACTAGATATCAAGACTGTTTCTCCCCTGTGACAGACTGGTGACCTGTCCAGGGTGGACCCCGCCTCTCGTCCAATGTCAGCTGGGATTTTTCAGTCCAGTTTCTGTACTGCAGGTGATAGTTGGTGTGACATTGATATTTCTGTTTGAAATGTTGCTTTGGGAGGTGAAGGATTTTTATTAACGGTGATAGATGTAACATCATGAAGAAAATAATACTTGAGATTAAATTAAAACAAATACAGATCAATCCAACAAACGGTACAGATCAATGTTATTTTACAGGTGTTGAGAAAACCCAGATGTCACTGAGATCACATTGATTCTTCTTGTCGTTGGAGGTTTTTGTGCAGTTGCTCCACCGTCTTCAGCCACTGTGCTTTCTCGAGCACCGAAGTAAACAGTAGAATCTTGTGTTGTCAGGCTCTTGACCTCGAGGTACTGAGTGCTGCTCGGCACATCTTCAGTCATGATGAAACGGCTTTGAAAGGATCTGCCATAGCTAGCAGAGTTTGAACCAGTGTCCATCCACCCAATCCACTCCAGAGCTCCTCCTGGCCTCTGTCTTATCCAGTGAATGTAATAGCTTGTCATGCTATAACCAGATATGACACATGACATCTTCACTGTCTCACCAGGTCTTTTCACTCAGAGGGTGACTGGTCCAGCTTGATTTCACTCCAAACTCCTGTAAAG